TTGGAATCCATATTCCACAGAATCCTGCCATCAGAGATGCCCAGTGTTGGAGCTTCTGTTAAAAGCTCCTTAATTCTTTGGAACAACTTTTTTATTTCCCCTGTCACAGTGTGTCTGTGTCAGGGCCTTTTGAAGCTTTATACAAAAGCTTGGAATCCAAATTCCACAGAATCCTGTCATTCCCAGAAATGCCCTTGGCTGCTTTTTGGTCTGTAGTGACCCTATACATAGGACAGCTTCCTTTCTCTTGACTGAAAGAGCATACTTTCCTGGAGACTAGAATATATCTCAGGTAATCTATCTTTTGTTTAGAAACCTGAGCTTTTGTTGGGGAAATTCTGTATCCTCACTTTCCCAGATTCTGAGTTTAATGGAATGCAGAAGAAATTATCCCTTAGGCAAAGGTATATAGCAAACAATAAGATGCATTGAAACAGCGGTCTCATTAGTAGCCCTGAGGCCTTTAACCATTTTGTACTTTTCATTTGACCTTAGGCTAAAACATAGGATAGGAACATCACAGAGAGACATGGGCCTAAGACTCCATGTTTGAGACAATTAACTTTAAGGAAACACCTAAGGATAATAATAAATCTACAGGCAATAGAGTTGGTCACTTAGACGTAACTAAAACTTACAACACATAATATAACACACTAGAACAAAGTGAATCTTTGGGGACAAGTTTTACCATTAATTCTAATACTGTAACTCTTTGAGGACAGAGGTCTTTTTTAATCAAATGCTTTTACATTTTTAAGCAAATAAAAAATTTAATTCCAACTTTCTTGATTTACTTTCATTCTGTCCCTTTCCTGCCAGGTCTCCATCTTCTACCATCTCTCTGCCTCAAAGGAGCATGGATCAGGACAGGATGAGCCAAAGTTTACATTACTTGTGATGGTTCCTGAGATTCCCAGAACAACCTGCAAGCCCTGTTTGGGGGAGCATAATTGGATTTATTACTTTAATTAAAAGTAATTGTTTTTCTAAATCTGAACAAACTTTTTTTGCAAAGTTGTAGTAAATAACAGCAAAGAGACTTGGAGACTGAGTGAGGCTCATTATACTAATTCTCTGGGGAGTCCCAAGCCCATCAAGTTAGAGAGATGAACAGAGCCCCGAAGGAAATAAAGCTACACCCAAGTCTTCCCTGCACAAAGGCGTGTGTTTATTCCAGGAGGATTCGTCTGTCTCCTACAGCCCCATGGTTCACAAAAGAAACACCACCTCACAGAGACTGGGCCCATGTAAGAATTTTTTAGAAGTCTTTATCAGACAGAATCACCCCATGAGGCCAAGAGGAGGATAACAAAAGATTGCTCCAAATGATAACTGTACTCTAGAACGAATCTGCTGAAAATGGAAGATTTTGAAACATTCTGGGGTTCAGACACTTTGAGCTGAATGATGACAAAGGCCAGGGAAACCACTGTACTCTGAGTGGCCCAGGGAATGCAGCTGCCCATTCGGAAGCTTTGGGAAAGAACCAGGTATTCTCAGAAAATGCCATCAAATTCATGAAGGATACACATCTCACACCAACAGTATACTGTCTGTATATTCACAGCCTGCAGACAATATTGCAACCTCAAGAAATACTTCTGGGAACCTAAGAATCTTCTGCAATCCTGTGAATAGTCTATTTGGAATGGCCTGAATGAGACTTCTCCAGCGTGCTGTTAGACACCTGGCCCTGGGCCTTTGGAATAATCTCTGCCCTGGCACCTCAGGGGCTGGCAGAGCAGCAATGACTTCCTCAAATTTCCCCTTACTGGCACTTGATACACACACATACACACACACACACTTTTTTTTCCAGTTATCAGGTCTGGCACATAAAGAACAGCATTTGGTCTCATTTGTACTTTTAGCCCCATCATCTGGGTCACTGTTGAAACAAACAGTAGCTAAGTCAATATTCAGTCAATCAATTGCTTGCACTGAGCAACTTTGCCTGATATGATTTACAATGCTGATCAACCCTGTGTTCTATATGACTGGTCCCTTAGATAACCTAAAGCTCTGGACAATACCAACTCTAGGTATAAACCTTCATGCTTCTCCTTAGAAGGGGAAGGTCTTCCTCTCCCTCTAAGAGCACTAAAACTGTTGAGAAGAACACCCAGTTCCAGCTGCAGCAGACAAACCCCCGGGGAATGCATCCTTTCCCACTGGGCTGTGCATGACTGACCCTTAGAACAGTGAATGGTTTGAAGTGGATGCTGCAGCCATGTCCAGATCCTCCAGCTGCCAGGTAAGTCTCCCCCTTCACTCATCATGTATTTAGGATAAAGGAAGAGCTGCATGAGGTGGCCCACTTCCCTTTGCAGCTGGAAGATCTCCTAGCTGCTGATTTCTGATTTGACATAAGAAGAAAAAAGTCTATTAGCAGCCCTGTCCTTGAGCTGGTCACAATGACTTTGCAGGTTTATCCATGCTAAGCTGCTGGCTCAGCATGAACCCAAAGCTTTTCCCTCCCTCCCACTCCCATTAGGTCCTTCAACACTTTAGACTCTGTTCCTATGTTTCTCCCAGTGTGTCACACCAAGTACTTTGCCTAAGTACTATTCATTCTATTAATTCCTGATGTTTCTGGGTTTCATGTTCATGCTGGGTTCTGCTTTTGTCCTGGAAAGAACTAGGTAAGTTTGTTAATCACCTGGGCTCACCTTTCAATCAAATGATTAGGCTGCAGTGAACTCAAATCACTGATGAATTTAGATGACATTTAGTCTGGAAATGACTCTTGGGAAATAGCCCTCAATACATCTTTAGAGGCTGATTAACTAATCCTATTCAGCTGATTAACTCATTCTTAGTAACTGTCAACAAATGATAGAGATAATGGTAATTGGCAGAATGACTTTGAAGAGTGCAAAAAGTGCTAAAAAAAAAAAAAAAAGGAAAAACAATTTTAAAAGGAAAGTTTATAAGATGTATCAATTCTTCCTCCCTATTAACATAACTTTCATCCCTTGATATTTCCACTTCTCCAAGTACCCTCCCAAATACCTAAACTAGGTCCCAATCTAATTCTCCAGTGAGTGGGTGACACATAATTCTTGCTATAACTCTGGTCAATAATCAAAGTAGTCATTAACAATGCTAATGGAAGGAAACTTCCAGAGATGTTGACTTTTTTTTAACTTTTATTTAATGAATATAGATTTCCAAAGTACAGCTTATGGATTACATTGGCTTCCCTCCCCCCCCATGACTTCCCTCCCACCCACAACCCTCCCCTTTCCCGCTCTCTCTCCCCTTCCATTCATATCAAGATTCATTTTCAATTTTCTATATACACAGATTAATTTAGCATACATTAAGTAAAGATTTCAACAGTTTGCACCCACATAGAAACACAAAGTGAAAAATACTGTTTGAGTACTCGTTATAGCATTAAATCTCAATGTACAGCACATTAAGGACAGAGATCCTACATGAGGAGTAAGTGCACAGTGACTCCTGTTGTTGACTTTACAAATTGACACTCCTGTTTATGGCATCAGTAATCTCCCTATGCACCAGTCATGAGTTTCCAAGGCTATGAAAGCCTTTTGAGTTCACTGATTCTTATTTAGACAAGGTCATAGTCAAAGTGGAAGTTCTCTTCTCCCTTCAGAGAAAGGTACCTCCTTCTTTGAAGACCTGTTCTTTCCACTGGGATCTCACTCACAGAGATCTTTCATTTAGGTGATTTTTTTTTTTTTTTTTTTTTTTTTTTTTTTTTTTTTTTTTTTTTTTTTTTTTTTTTTTGCCAGAGTGTCTTGGCTTTCCATGCCTGAAATACTCTCATGGGCTTTTCAGCCGGATCCGAATGCCTTTAGGGCTGATTCTGAGGCCAGAGTGCTGTTTAGGACATCCGCCATTCTATGAGTCTGCTGTGTATCTCGCTTCCCGTGTTGGATCGCTCTCCCCTTTATTTATTCTATCGGTTAGTATTAGCAGGCACTAGACTTGTTTATGTGATCCCTTTGACTCTTAGTCCTTTCATTATGATCAATTGTGAACTGAAATTGATCACTGGGACTAGTGAGATGGCATTGGTACATGCCACCTTGATGGGATTGAATTGGAATCCCCTGGTATGTTTCTAACTCTACCATTTGGGGCAAGTCAGCTTGAGCATGTCCCAAATTGCGAGATGTTGACTTTTAAAAAGGGATCTTTTTAAAATATTTGGGGCTTTGGTTTTTTTTTTTTTTTTTTTTTTTTTTTGAAGGTGAGAGCATTCTACCCAAGCAGATCTCTCTGTACCAACTACCTCAGACTCCAGTCTACCTCAATGATGGAGTCTCCACTCAGAGAATGGTTGTGAGAAGGCACCTCCACCTTCTCCTGAGGAAAAGCAAACTCTCTTCAGCTGGACCAAGTCAAAGCTATTTGGCATGCTGGTTTTATTTAAATGCTGCCCCCTAGGAAATACTACATACATGACATGTCCCCAACCTCTTGTATGTCAATCACCAACCAAATCCATTTCTCAGACATTTGAAGTATTATTCCCTGTTTCAATAAATGGTCATCAAAACTGATTATTTTGAGAAATTGCTTGTAAGTTCTTTAGAAAATATAAAAACTTTTGAGTCAACAAAAATAATTATAAAAACATAATTAAAATGTGAAATTCATTCACTAAGAGATGAAGGCTTCATAGAAAACAGTATTTATTAAGGAGACACTTAAAGCATCAATGGGATTTGAAAGACTGGTGGTTACAAGCTGAAAAGTAGCCTTGTATGAAATATCACCAGTGTATGAAAATGGATAACAACCAAAACATCAGAGAGTTTACTGTGTCTAGATCCCAGGGTTTGTGGGAGAATGTAAAAAGAGAAAAACTTGGAAATATTATTTGGTAAAATAATACTAAAATATACCATGAAATTTTGATGTATGTAGATATGACTTGGAGTAGTTCTTATTTACTTAATTTTTGAGAGTTGTGCTTTTCTCATAGCTTTCCTTTTTACAATCCCAAATAGCACTCAAAGGCACCAAAGATTCAGGAAATCCTGCAACATTAATGCCCTCATATATGAACTATTTATGGATGAAGACCCAATATTGGAGTAAGGATAAGAACAAATGGTGCTGAAAGCAGCTTACATTAGTAGCAATGGAGGAATTCACTGAGAAATAGAAATAAACTTTTTGGTTAAGAGAAGTAAGAAAATTATTTTTGGTTGTACCTTACTTAGGTCACCCTGAACGTCACCACTTTCTCCTATAACAGATCTACCAGATACTAACCATTAGACAGGCAACTCCAGAGGCTCTGCAAATGAGCTTGAGAAGTCAGGGGTGAGAAGATAAGATTTTCACAGAAATAAAAGACTTGGTCAGCCCAAAATGCAACACATATTCTTCTTGCTTTCAGCTCCAGCTTATTTTCAGACCCCTAGACCATCACCACTCCTGATGCTGAACACCTTTCATCAGCCATCCCCAGCGCAGGTCTCAGGAGCCATGGGGAACCACACCAGAATCACTGAGATTGTCCTGCTGGGGCTCTCAGATGCCTGTGAGCTGCAGCTGCTCATCTTCCTGGGGCTCCTCCTCACCTATCTCCTCATCCTGCTCGGGAACCTCCTCATCGTGGTCGTCACCCTCACGCACAGCTGCCTCCACACCCCCATGTACTACTTCCTCCGCAACTTTGCTGTCCTGGAGATCTGGTTCACCTCCGTCATCTTCCCCAAGACGCTGACCAACATCCTCACAGGACACAAGACCATCTCCTTTCTAGGCTGCCTCCTACAAAGTTTCTTCTATTTCTTCCTGGGCACCACAGAGTTCTTCCTACTGGCAGCGATGTCCTTTGACAGGTATGTGGCCATATGTAACCCCCTGCGGTACACCACCATCATGAGCAAAAGGGTGTGTGTCCAGCTGGTGTTCTGCTCATGGATCACAGGACTCATTCTCATTCTTCTTCCAAGTGTCATCATATTTAACCAACCATTCTGTGGCCCTAATGTCATTAATCATTTCTTCTGTGACAACTTTCCACTCATGGAACTCATATGTGCAGACACAACTCTGATAGAGCTTCTGGGTTTTGTGATAGCCATCATATGTTTACTGGGCACTCTGTGTGTGACAGCCACCTGCTATGGCCACATTGTCCACACTATCCTGCACATCCCCTCAGCCAAGGAGAGGCAGAAAGCCTTTTCAACCTGCTCCTCCCATATCATTGTGGTGTCTCTCTTCTATGGCAGCTGCATCTTCATGTACATCCGGTCAGGCAAAGGTGGCCAGGGGGAGGGCTGGAATAAGGTGGTGGCATTGCTCAACACTGTGGTCACTCCAGTGCTCAATCCCTTCATCTACACCCTTAGGAACAAACAGGTAAAGCAGGTGTTTCGGGAGCAGGTGAGCAAGATCCTCTCAAAAAGTTGTGGAACAAAGAGCTGAGCTGATATTCCAGACCTGCTATGGGAATTTGAGAGATCTTCAGGAGACTGGAATTCCATCTGGGTCTCCCATATGAGTACACAACCCAAGGTCTTGAGCCATCATCCACTACTTTCCTGGGTACATTGAGCAGCCACATCTCAAACAAGTACACAGATATGGGATGACAGTGTCACAGGTGACAGCTTAACCTGCTTTGCTACAATGCTAGTCCCAGAAAATCCTGTTATGAAATGTTTCTGTGTGATAAATTTCTGTGGTGCCAGTCACTATGAAATTCAGCATAAACCCAAAAGCTCTCTGGACCCTCAAGGCACTTTTATTAATGTTCAGATTCAAATATTTTTGCCCATTTCATCTGTTTATCTGACTTTCCAACAGAAAATAAGCTCTTTGAAAATAAGTACTAGCTCTTTAATTCACCAGAGGCTTCAACCATCAGTCCATTGTCATGGACCATTTACATGAATATATTCAGTAAGTACTTCCACACTCATCACTGGCTTTGTGTCTGTTTCTCCAACACATTCAGAGAAGAGAATATTCCCAAGTTAGTACAATCATAATTTAACCAGTAAATTCTTGTCATAGAAACTAATCAGCAAGAGTTCACAAAAATGACTAATGCAATTGTTTTTTTATTTTGCATATAAGCTACTTAAGCATTTTAAGTATTAAAATTCATAGAATTTCCTCATTTTTTGATAAAGTCTCTTCCATCTACTGGTTTTATTTCCTCCTGAGCCCAGTTTTCTCATCTGTAAAGTCAGGATGACACTGCCCATTTCGAAGCACTGTAAATAAAAATCAAAGGAGATATTCCATGGGCAGTGCCTTCAATAGTGATTGGCACAAAATACGTCCTCAATAAATGTTAATTCCTTTACTCCAATTTTCATCTTGCCTTCCCTTACCTCCTTTGTTAATTCATTTGAATTATCAACAAAAGCATTTTTGAAGATTTTAAATTCAAAATATTATTAAAGATAGTGTTTAGCCTATTGGAATGTATTACCAAGATGTCTACCGTTCTTTTACAAGATTTTTTCCAGTAGGAAAATTTTTTATTATCTATTTTATTTATTTGAGAGGCAAAGAGACAGACATAGAGAGAAAAACAGTCAGAGAGAGATCTTCCATCCACTAATTCACTCTCCAAATGCCCAGCTCAGGTTGGGCCATGCCAAGGTCGGGAGTCAGTAACTCAATCTAGGTCTCTGTTGAGCATGGCCTAAAATCTCCATTACAATATGGCGCCTGGCGGATGTTCAAGGGGCGTGTCTGCAGCGGCTGCTGCTGCTACCGCTGCTGCTGCTGCGGTTAAGCTACGTAAGATCAGACCACCGGCAGGGATAGGTCCACTTTAGTTCCGGACACATGGACAGTGCATGATCCCTATACTTTACTTAAGTTGCCCCTGTGCGTGGTTCACCCGTGTCTGCGTGACCTTTTCACTTATTGGCTTGGTTCCCCTACTGTGCATGTCCTTCGTAAGCTTTATAAGCCTGTACACTTCCTCAATAAAGCGGTTCCTGCTTCCACAGAACTCATGGTGCTTGTGGTGTGTTCATCACCTGTCGACCTTACCTTTCCTGTTCGCCTTGTTGGGGAGTGCCTGTGCTGTCCCCTGCTGGTCAGGGGCCAGCCTAGGGCTTGAGACCCCGACAGGTCTCTTATGTGGGTAGCAGGGTCTCAGTTACTTGAGCCTGCTGCCTCCCAGGCTATACATTTAGTACAAAAGCTAGAGTGGAGAATGGATCCAGAACTTGAACCCAGGCACTCCAATAAGGGATGTGGGTGTCTGAAGTGCGACTTACCCACAGTGCCAAACACCTACCTCAGATGTTCACATTGATTAAGGTAAAGTCATATCTGTAAGGGAACAAATATCAAATAAGTAACTTAATTAACATAATGATGCATTCAAAAATAATTATTACACAAATGTCTATTTCAAGAAAATAAATATGCATTATGGTCTTAGAGGTAGTAATCTACCCTTTGAATAATTTGTATTCTCCTAGGTAAGATATTAAGTACACAAAAAGCTGTAACTCAAAGTAAAAACTGTTCTGTGTAAAAAAAAAAATACCATGTGTAACTCTTCAAAAATAAATCTGAAAACCATGAGACAGTGGTTGATTTTCCATAAAAGAAAACCTTAAAAAACTGATATAAAGAAATAGAACACTTGATTAGACAAATTACTATAGAAAGATCTCAAAATAGTTCAGAAAGCTTTAAAACAAATGGGGGCCAGTGCCGTGGCGCAATAGGTTGATCCTCTGCCTGCAGCGCTGATACCCCACATGGGCACCGGTTCTACTTCCTGGCTGCTCCTCTTCCAGTCCAGCTCTCTGCTGTGGCCCGGGAAGGCAGTGGAAGATGGCCCAAGTTCTTTGGCCCCTGCACCTGTGTAGGAGACTGGGAGGAGGCACCTGGCTTTGGATCAGCAAAGCTCCAGCCATTGTGGCCATTTGGGGAGTGAACCAGCGGACGGAGGATGTTTCTTTCTCCTTCTCACTGTCTGTGGCTCTACCTCTCAAATAAATAAATAAAATCTTTAAAAAAAAAGTTCAGAAAGTAGGTCTTTAAAAACAAAAAACAACCCAATTCTACAAATAACAAATAAGCACATGGTAAGATGTGTCATTAGGGAATCTAAATCAAAACCTTGTAAGATACCACTTGACACCCACCAGGATGGCTATTATTTTTTTAAAAAATTAGATTTATTTATTTATTTGAAAGTCAGAGAGAAAGATACACAGAGAAGAGAGGTAGAGAAAGAGAGAGAGAGGTCTACCTTCTGCCAGTTCATTCCCCAAATGGCCACAACAGCCAGAGCTGGGCCAATCCAAAGCCAGGAGCCAGGAGCTTCCTCTGGATCTCTCATGTGGAGACAGGGGTCCAGCACTTAGGACATCTTCCACTGCTTTCCCAAGCCATAGCAGAGAGCGGGATCAGAAGCTGAGCAGACAGGACATGAACTGGTACCCATATGGAATGCTGGCACTGCAAGCGGAGATCTAGCCTACTGTGTCACAGCACTGGCCCCAGAAAGCAGAACAAATGTTTGTACACCCTGTTCATAGAAAAACTATGACCAACAGTCAACGGTGGAGGGGAGGAATAATCTACAGATCCATGGATGAACAAAATGTGATGTGTGTGTGCATACAACAGAGCATTATTCAACTTTAATAGGAATGAAATTCTGTTACATACTGCACATGGATGCAACCTGAAGACATGTTAAATAAAATAAGCCCATCACAAAGAGACAAATATCATTTACCTTCAATTACATGAGGAACCTAGAATAATCACATTTGTAAAGACAGAAAGTAGAACAATGATTACCAGGGGCTAGGTCAAAGGGGGAATGAGACATTACTATTTGGAGATAGATAGTGGTGAGAATTACACAATAATATGAATGTATTTGATGCCACTGAATAGTTTAAAGTAGTTAAAGTGATCAATTTTTGTTATATGTATTTTACCAAAATTTAAAAAAACCACAGATCCCAAGTCTAATACAAAGCAAAACTACGTAATCCTTGACTCTCTTCTCTCCCTCACACCCTACAACCAATCTATCAGAAAATATTGTAAATTATACCTTCAAAACATACACAGAACCCTACCGCATCTTGCCATACCACCACTGCCATCTTTGTCCCTGCCACCTTCCATTTCCTCTTGATTCTCCATCTCCTATTTGCCACCCCTGTTCCATCTACATGACCTCAGAGGAGCTGGAAGCCATAGATAAGGAAGAGGTGAGCTTACAAAAAAATTAAGAGATGGAGCCAACACTAAATATTCTTTCTCTCTGAAGATTACCTGACTAAAACAAGCCTCAGATGGAGGTTAGATTAAGTTTTACCTTTAAATTACAATCAAAATTTTAACAATTACATAGAATTGGACAGTTTAATAACTATTCTTTGGACTGATAGTGAATGGAGGACTTTTTAAATTACTTTGAATGGCCAGAAATGTCACTGTATCTATCCTAGATCTCATCCAAGGGTCCAGGGAGAAATTACTATAAGAATAGGTTTAAAGGGGCATAAAGGAAGGGGCACAGTGGAGAATATATGTTACAATTAAAAGGTTGCTAATCATAATATACAAAGAAAAATAACCCCACAAATAAATGAACTAAGGATAGGCATAGACATTACACAGAAAAGCAAATCCAGAGCCGGCGCCGTGGCTCAATAGGCTAATCCTCCACCTTGCGGCGCCGGCACACCGGGTTCTAGTCCCGGTCGGGGCACCGGATTCTGTCCCGGTTGCCCCTCTTCCAGGCCAGCTCTCTGCTATGGCCAGGGAGTGCAGTGGAGGATGGCCCAGGTGCTTGGGCCCTGCACCCCATGGGAGACCAGGAAAAGCACCTGGATCCTGGCTCCTGCCATCGGATCAGCGCGGTGCGCCGGCTGCAGCGGCGGCCATTGGAGGGTGAACCAACGGCAAAGGAAGACCTTTCTCTCTCTGTCTCTCTCTCTCACTGTCCACTCTGCCTGTCAAAAATAAAAAATAAAAAAAAAAAAGAAAAGCAAATCCAAAGGACTAATAAATAAAATGATGACTAATTATACTGATAGTCAAGGTGATCCAGATTAAAATAACAATTAACCCACCTAATGATTGATGAAGTACTTTTGATTTTTCAAAGCAATAAAGGAATTGTGTGTTTGTATTTTAAATAATACTGTTAATTTAGAACTTATTGAAATATTTACAGGTGAAATAATGTGACATCTGGGATTTGCTTCACAATAGCAAGGGAAGACAGTAGGTAGTGATCTAAGTGAAATAAGAATCGCCAGGAGGGGCCGGCACTGTGGCACAGTGGGTTAAAGCCCTGGCCTGTAGTGCCAGCATCCCATATGCACGCTGGTTTGCATCCTGGCTGTTCCACTTCTGATTCAGCTCCCTGCTAATGTGCCTGGGAAAGCAGCAGGGGATGGCCCAAGTGCTTTAGCACCTACACCCAACATGGAAGACCTAGAAGAAGCTCCTGACTCCTGGCTTTGGATTGGTTCAGTTCCAGCCATTGTGGTTATTTGGGGAATGAACCAGAGGATGGAAGACCCCTCTCTCTGTGTGTACTTCTACCTCTTTCTGTAACTCTTTCAAATAAATAAAATAAATCTTTAAAAAGAAAGAATTACCAAGACTTGATTATTGTCAAAGCTATTGATAAACAGATTCATTATGCCATCTGCTTCTGTATATGCCCAAAATTTTCAAAATAAAAAATTAAAGATAATGGGAATACTTCAGTCAAGAGGTAATGTATACAAACTTGGTAGCACCCACAGCAATGAAACAAGGAAAATTATGTAAGAGATGTTGCACAGCCAGAAACTGATGCAGCTGTGTACTGAAGGAATAAAATGATTAGAGGTAGAAAGA